TATAGCAGCTTTCATTGTGATAGAGATTAAAAGATTATATATGTAAACCATAACTGTTCATTCTAGAAATTTGTATTACAAAGATGAACTTGCTTGTCGTATAATACTGCAAAATGACTTGCCACAGAAGCTTCCTGTTGGACTACAAAACTGTTCTGATCCATCATCTGGTTCGGTTTATGCTTTTGATGACTTTGTGAGTAGTGTGAGTGCAGATAGCTGTCAGACAGAGGCCCAAATCAGCATGAACCTGTGCTACAAACGGATCATTTATCTGCTCTGTGTGAATCAGTCCCACATCCTTCTCGTGCTAGCTATTTTCCTCCCTCTCTCTCCATTCTTCACTAATGAGGAGAGGGAGACAGAAGCAGACGTTTATCATTAGCACTCAATTCCAATGGCTCAGTCCTGCCCCGCTGCACCCAGGGGACTCCGAGGGACTATAGGAGGATGAGCATGTCTTCGTTTATTCAATTTTATCGGTATAAAGAGTGTTCATTAAACGGCTAGCGCTAATGTGACTTATCCTCCCAGGTGGCCCTCCCGGCGTGGTTTTATAAATGTGCCAGAGACGTCGAGCTCATCCCCTGAGGCTATTGAAACTGAAGCGCTATCTGCATGATGACTGGTGATGAGCGCGTCACACAGAGGATGCCGTTTGTCTAGATCTGAGAAAGTGGATACTCCTTATGTGTGTGTTTCTCAAGGTGTGTGTGTGTGTTCTCAAGGTGCTGAGACTACTGAATTATTGAGCGAAAAGAAACTCTTTGATCCTCCCTCTCCTGCATGCATGCCACTCCGTTGCAACATAGAAACACATTCATTTTTCAAACGATACATAAATACATGCATCGCTGGTGATTTATGTTGCCAGGTGATAAAAAATCCAATGCCCTCTGGTGGTTTAAATTAGCATGTAGCATCCTGCTTGCCAAATGGGGCTTGGAAAGTGTTAAGGGTGGATGATGCTGGATGCAGGAAAGGCCTGCATTTGTTGAATGTCAATCACTGTGTTCACAATGTGAATGACGAAAAGCACCAATATGAAATAGAAGCATGTGTGAAATTGCTTTATATGTTTGAGTTATTGCATATCAGCTCTGATTATTTAAGGGCAACCAATCTGCTATTCTAATCTGAGATTTAAGGGGCCCATACAGTGGAAAACTGATTTTTGTTGTTGTTGTTTTGAAATAAAAGACATTTGATAGTATGTAAACATTGTTAAAGGAATAGTTTCTGTAAAATGTAATGTATACAATGTTCCACTCCACCCAGATGTAATCAGTCGGCCAAGACATGTTCAGAGTTAAAATTTTGCATCAATAACTCTCAACCCACTCAGATCACATCCAGGTCTTCATTAAGGTCATACAGACTTGTCAATGTGGTTTAGGGCACAGTGTGATTAAAATGAACAGAACCTTGCCATGTATGCACAAACCACCTCAGGAATCTCTCCCTAGTTCGTACCGTCCACATATGGAAATTGAGCTGCAAAAACGTTTTAATTAATTCATATCACATATCTTTATATATCCACCTGATTCAGCCTACAGTAGTTTTATGCTAAAGTTGTAAGGAGTGTTTCTGCCTGGACCACTTTTTAAATAAGGAAAAATACAAGGCGTGAAATCAGAACACAGGTCGTTTACATATATATCAGTTTTAAAAATAGAGTAACAAAGACATCCTGTTTAATTCTAAGGGACAAAATTGGCCTGTTAAAATACATTATAATTGGCTTTGATAAACCAGTTATACACAAAACCACACAGATCTCACAAGTGAATCTCAAGAACAAGAAAAATGTAATATATGGCTGCATTAAAAGAAAGGAGTGGTTTTTCAGCTAAGAGACACAGAGAATGCGGCTCAGGTCATGTGTAGGGGTGGGACGTCTCTGTGAAATTAAGAGAAGAGTATCATGCTCAAACAGCAGAATGGTTTATGCAAAACAGGCTGTTGCCTGCTCAACAGACACCATAATTTCATTTTCACGCATGATTTCCAGACCCGCAACCCACAAAATTTGCAAAGGATGAAAGGAAAGGGTTGGGGTGTTTTTTTTAGAGGTGCGTCATTGGAGTGTGAGGTTTATTCCCTGCATCTTTAACCCGGAGAGGTTTGCATGTTATTTCCTTTGCTCTAAATCCCCTCGCCTCCCTTAAGTCTCTCCTCCAAGCAAAAACCCCACAGAAACGCTGCCAGAGCCGTAAACCTGGGAAACGTCTGGTGAAGCGCTTGCCGCGCTCGAGAGAGCAGATTGAGTGATTTTTAGAGATGCGCTTAAGCATATCATCTCCACCGATACACATACCACTCAGCTGTCAACAGCTATCATCATACAGGCCGCTATCGCCAAATGGGCTACTTTGTGCAGCTGCGCAAACTAGAATCAAAAACACTATTTAACATTTCAAATAGCACTTCCATTCCTGCGAAAGCCGCATTCAGAGTGAAGTTATCCATTCATCTGTAATTCCCTCCTTCGAAAGGTGTTCATCCTTTCACCAGGCATATCACCTTCAGGCAGAGATTAGTGAGCATTGTTAATATACATTGTTTTTCATGAATATGGTAATAAGTATACGTGAGAAAGGAATAGGTGAAGCAGAATATCCATCATTTGAATGAAAGCCTACCCTCCTTCCAAAGTTTTGAATACCCCGGTCAAGTGAAAATAAATTAACGTATCCTCTACAGGGAATAAACTTTGCATTAAATATGGCATTTTTCTGCAAATTTTTGTGTACAAATTCTATTCATGTGCTGAGTTCAACGTATTGGGGGAAAAAAAAAAAACTATATACTATAGTTTTATACTATATACTATACTAAATATAAAAAATATACTAAACACTGGTTGTGCAGAATTGTGTTGTCTGTAGAATATTTGTTAACTTATTTTATTTAGAACAACCAACATGTCATATGACCAGGGGCACCCAAAGTTTTGCATAGGACTGTATAATAGTGAGTATAAGTTACATTCTACTCTAATATAATTCTTAGAAATCATGTTTTAATTGACTGTTCATGCTCCACTCACAAAGGGGCGAAATTGTTTCTTAGCTTTTGTCATGAGGTTGGACAAGTTTTATAAACGTGAATGGCAAAAATCCCATTCAACCTAATAAGAAACTGTAGCACACAACTTAGTTTTTGTCAAATGACCTACATTTTGAGGGTTATTCATTTCAAGTAATATTTATTTTCAAAGCACGTGAGGTCACACTGGATTAGATGTTGTATAATCGTGCTAATGTTGCTATGGTGGCAACCTAGGGCATTTTTCCACTGGTCATCGGTTCAGTACTGAAGGTTCCAGTTTTATGTTTTTTGGTACTTGATTGATACCCACAGGGCTGTCTTCTGAAACACTTGCGGCTGATGCTAACAACAATTTAGCAAATTCTTTACTCTTCCATGTGAAGATAAAGTGACTAATCACTATTGCATCACCAATAAGTACAATAATGTAAGCCAGAGTGGTGTGTTGAGGTGTCATTTGCTATTTTTAGAACTATTACTTTATAAAGAGTTTGCTAAGACTACATAAGCTAGCTAGGAAGCTAACACTATTAGCATTTATGCTAGCTTCCACAAAACAAGTGTTTTTGTTCATATTTTCAACAGAAAAAATATAAGCTGTTTGATTCTGCACATGATTTTGTGTATGCATTTGAGTGTGTGAGCGCAGGACACAGCACTGTATTAGTTTGTGTTGGCAGAACTAGCTCTTAGTGCTAAGTGTGTGAGTATAGGACAGTGCAGTGTATAATTTCATATCAGACATTAAGCTAACTAGCAAGCAAGATAGCTAATTAGCCAAATTAGAAGCTTTAAAGTGGTGACGGCGGTTCCAGCTGTCTCTCAAGCAAGTGGAAAATGAACTAGAACTACTGTAAGTTCTATTGGTGCTTATTTGGGCTAGTTCCCATTTCTGATTGTGCAGTGGAAAAAAGCCACAGAAACTCAATGCTTTTTAACAATACGATGTAAACAAACATTGTAAGGGTCTGACATGAATGTATGTATTTTGAAATTAATACCACACTCTAAACTTAGATATTTTATATACATATGACTGAAAAGAGCTTATTTGTAAAAAGAGCACGGATAGATCAATTGGAAAGACGAACTGTTCCAAGATAGATGTTAAGAGTAAGAGTAAGAGTAAATCCACCACCAGTCCATTGATTTTAAGTTTTAAGTTAAGTTGTTGTACAGTCTTGAAATGTTCAGATAGTAAGAAGTCGATGTTTCTACTTGTGGCCATGAAGTGTTTGAATGGTTTATGCTCAATAATAGTGTGTACTGACATTCTTCTACTAGATCATCAGGTTAATTCAGATTATTTTCACTGTTTGTGTTATCATTAGTGAAGATGTTATGGAAAGTAACCTCACTGATGTATGCATTGACAATAAAAAAAATTGTATTAACACATACATTTATGATTAAAATAACAGCTTAGTTCTCAAGTTGCTTTAGTGAAAGCATAAAGTACTAGAATGAGCACGATCAAATCATAGAATACAGTGGAAATAGACCTATGTCTGTGTTTGTTTTTTTATGTGGACAAAATATTAGTATTACAGTTATATTGCTACCTACTGTAACATGCCTTACAATATATTAAAAATGCATTGGTGAATCAATAATGCATCATAGTTAAACAATGACTTTTATTATTTTAAGAAAGATAATTTACTCTTTTCCTTGTAAAGCTGCTTTGTGACAACACCTGTTGTAAAAAGTGCTCTATACATAATAAACTTTGCTTGCTTGCTTTTATCAGATTACATGATCGGGATGTTTACAGCACACAGTAAAAACCTTTGTGATTGGTTAGAACGTTCATTTGCATATTGCAGTCCTATGTGATATCATCTGAAAAAGTGACTATCATGATAACAATTAACAAATGATATATTGTTCAGCCCCTTATTTCTTCATTCCAGTCACATTCTGATTACTTGTACTTCTGTCCACAGATCCGGTCGGACCAGGATAAGGAGATTGAGATCCGGTACAGTATAACAGGAGCCGGTGCTGACCAGCCCCCCGGCGATGTCTACATCATCGACCCCGTTACTGGGAAAATGTCTGTCACCAAGCCCCTGGACAGAGAAGACCGAGCTTCTTACCATGTAAGTTTGCTGTAACATCTACAAGAAAACTGTAAAGTGTTGCATTAAACAATCTGGACTCTAGGGGTGTGAGGTAGACCGCTTACTGTGAAACCAAGACCGCTATTGGTATTGCATGTTTTGCTAATTTTCTAAGTGACAATACGTTGACACATTGTCTGTGTGGAACACGCTCCTGCACATTTTAATGCACAATCACTGTTTATTTGAAAAATGGATTACAGAATTGGATAAACGAAAAATTTGGATAAAAAAAATTGGGTTTGGTGGGAAGTGTGGTATTATTTCCTGTGCTTTAACTTTCATTTGACGAAGATTAAGCTTCGGTTCACACAATATTACCGTGTTTACTAAAAGTGTTGCTATAATAATTGTTATTATTATTATTATTATTATTGTTGTTGTTGTTGTTGTTATTCTTTCTGTAAGTACTGATGATTGACACTGATGTGTCCAGAAGCATATAATAATAGAAACACTTCTTACAGTAATATTGAAATGGTTCCAACTCTAGAGTGGGAGCAAACACAGTGATATTTTTAATTTCACCCTTAATTAGGTCACATGAACTTTACCGTTCAAGGCTGTGATGTCTGTGGTCACTTAGCTTAACTTGTATGAGAGCTAAAACATGATGCCTTCCACTGAGATTCACAAATAAATATTATATTATTATATAAATATTATTTTAAAAAACTTTTTTTACTTAAATATACACTTCATAACATTTTATTACAAACTCTGGCGCTGCAGCATCTCGCTACGTGTGGCTGTTTCCGCTGTTTTTCAAATTCTTTTGAGCTGTGTGTGAAGGATTGTGGGAGACTGATGGTCTCGAAGGACACACCAGCTGCATCCTTCGATTTCTCACAAATGAAGGGTGCATTCTTGGCCGCATTTAAAGGATCCTGCAAAACGGAACAGACTTCAGTGACAGCCAAGAAATGCAGTCTTTCTCTGCTGCATCCTTAACTTTGAGACACTGCTGATATCTGCCTGGCACAACAGCACAAAGTGCCCACCACATAGTGCAGCTGAACAGTTGGGTTAGGGTAGAATAGATAGAATAACACGTGAGAATACTAGTGTCTTGACATAGTTTGCATGAAATAAATCAATAAATAAACAATATTTTTTTAAACTGGTGGTAAATGAGTTTTTATCATCACTAGTGTCTGTTACCATGGTGACTTAGTTAACTGTCAAGCCTGTTCTTGTAAAGATAGCAGAAAATACTGTGATATTAATTTTACCCTGACTCAATAGCCGTTTTAGAGTTCTGTATTTTCAGAAATCCAGTTTCTTCACTCTTTCAAGGGGCCACTCGCAACCACTTCAACAATCAGTCACTTTGTGATTTGAGTCTAGAAAGTTCTTAGCCTCCATGCTGCACGTTCTTTTCGCTTGACAGTTCTTTTGCCGAACAAAAGGCAAACTCATTTTGTTGCTTGTGAAGCAGAATTGGTGCAATAAAGGGTAGAGAATGCCAAGCTATACACAACACAAAGAAAAAGCAAGTCTGAGACTTTGCTGAGTGTTTTTTCTTGTTATGAGCCCTGCCACATTCTTTATTTCAAAACTTTTCTGTTTACATGTGTGTTTTCCTCTTGAATAATGCTGCACAAAGGCAAGAAAAGCAGCGGAGAATTGCTTTGGCAAAGCAGGTTTTTACGCAGTTAGTCAATTAGATGGAAGTTTGGTGACAGTGTGCAGATGAGAGCGAGAGAGAGAGCGAGAGAGATAGCGAGAGAGAGAGAGAGAGAGAGAGAGAGAGATTACTCTTGTTGGCTTGTCAGGAATAATGAGTATGCATGTCAGTCTGTTCTGACTCGACCAGGGAAACAAATAACAGCTCGACCCTGCCCTTCACATCTTTCTGTCTGTCTCTACTCCTGCAACACAAAACACACAGAGACAGAACCCTCACTTACCTCTCTGTTCTCACACACACACACACACACACACATACACATACATACATACAGTACCAGGCAACAGTTTAGGCACACCTGTCTTGATTGTGCACTATATCTCCAAATATTTCCCTTCACCCCTTCTAATTAGTGAATTCCCAGTGCCATGCTTTGGCTAGAGGAGTATAAAGCTAATCATCATCAAGCTAATCATCCAGCATCAGTACGGGACTTCACTAATCCTCTCATGGCTGAAAGGAATCAAATCCTTGCAGCAATGTTCCAACATCTAGTGTTAAGTCTTCTCAAATGAGCAGAAGCTGTTACTGCAGCAAAAGGAAAACAAACTCCCTATTAATACCTTTGATTGTAGAACGCTGGTTGAGCAGGTCTACAAACCTTTAACACACCTCAGCAGGCCTCAGATTGCTCAGAGTTACTGTTGAAGTCTGTCTCTTGGTGAAGCTTAGTGGCTTATTTTAGATTATGGAGCATTTTTGCTCACTGATTGACTGACTGACTGACTGAGTCACTTTGAAACCCGCACGTGCTAGAAAGTGTAGCTAGCCATATTTCAGTCTAGCTAACGTCAGCTAGTAAGCAGTGTACCAAGGACAGTTGTGGAGATGAGAGACAGGTTAGCTAAAGTTGTGCTGTTTTATGTGGATGCGCGTCATGAGGTATTACAACATTTTGGTTTTGTGTTTGCTGCAGATTCTGATACACAATCCATTATTAAAATTATTCATTATATGTCAAAAGCCTGATTTTGGTAGGAATTTGTTTTACTTTTTTGACATGTAGGCGAAACACCAGTTACTGGGTTAACAGCGCATATACTAGCAGATGTTTGAGCAGTGTCGCACGTTATTATGAACTGACGCAACTGATTAGTGATTATTTTAGGAGGTCTGCAGCAAGCTAACCATTATAACTCTGCTATAGCTGTTATTATAACTTTTAAAAATGACATGTATAAGTAGAGCTGAAATTTATGTGAGACAATGTCTATAGGTGTTAAAAATACAATTTTCATAAATACAAAAAAACTACTTAAAATCTCTTGAATTTGTGATTTTGTCAGTTGTGGATTCTAAGTTGTCTTTATCTCTGATTGAGGTATCTTAAAAAATTAAAAAAAGAAACATTTGTAAGATTTCATTTTCTTGATAAACATTCAGATTCCAAAAAAATTACCATGTGTAGAGTTTCTTCAGGCCACCACACATAAGTAATAGGTTAAAAGAAGGGGTGAGAGGATGTACTGTGGCATGTATGTGTTTGGAGCTATATAGCTACTAGCTGTATACTTATATACTATATAGCTATATACTAGCTATATTTTAACTTTTATATTGTTTATTACATAAATGCATGTTTTGAGCTTAGCTAGCCACATTTCAATCTAGCTAACGTTAGACCAGGAACGGTTGCAGAAACAGGTGGAGGACTTCTGATCAGAAGGTAAAGTTATATGTTTGGACCCTACATGAATGACTGGTTCCCTCTTGTTAAAATGCACTTGAGTGGCAAATACTATGTAGCCAGCGGTGGTCCAGCAAAACTACGCTTGCCTAGTCTTGTTCGTAGTCTATTTCAATCAAAGGCTTATGCATAAATGCTTGAAATTCCCTTCCTTTACATGGTGAAACTTCCATGTTGTATAATACATACATTTGTTTCAGTTACACAAACAAATTAAAAATGAATCAAAGTAACATGCAACAAATTATTCCACTAGTCAGCAAGACTCTCTGCTAGTATTTTTCATAAATAACATCATTCTGCCTATATACATAGTCTCCAGTGTATGTTTAGGCCCATAATTGCATCTTTGTATGATCCTTATGTCATCAGAGTAGAATAACTTAGCTAACAAAGGACAACAAACACGGGCAGCCATTCACTCAACTGTCATGTTAACATGAGCTAGCCAGCTAACATGCTAATTAAGCTAACTGGTTACCAACAAATAAGCAGCATTATTCCAAGAGACCATCTCTCTCTGATTTATTTTCCTGTACATTATGTGTTGAGTGGAATCAGTGGGTTGATTGTTTGATGTGATCACATGGTGTATCTATTACACATTTTTGTTTTAGTTTTATAAGACTTGTTCCACAAAGTTGAGATGGATGCAGCGGTTGCATCAGAGTATCAAACAAGTTTCAAGTGAGCTGCATGAGGCTAGTGAAATTAAGTTTCATTTAGTTTTAGGTTTCTCACGTAAAGTTGAGTGACAGTTTCACCTTATACAGCCAACTTTGGACAAATATAAATAGGGATGCGTATGTATGAATTTATTTCCAAAACAAAAAAAAATTAGAGATTAAAAATGTTTTTTTTAATTCCCTTTTAACTGGCAGTTTTTTGCTTAGCATGTGTATCTTTTTCAGCCCTGCTGGAAAAACATCCCAGGTGGCTCCACATGAAGCTGATTGAGAGAATGCCAAGAGTGTATAAAGCTGCATCAAAGCAAAGTGGGGCTATTTTCTAAGAGAATCTAAGATAAATTATATTTTGATTTGTTTAATACTCTTTTGGTCACTGCATGATGTTATTTCACGGTTTTGTTTTCTTCACTATTATTCTAAGATGTATAAAATAGTAAAAACAAGGGAGAAATACAATGAATAATGTGTTCAAACTATACCCATATAACCGTTCCTGTATTTGCACCAAAGCAAAAACTGCAATATTTTTTGGTGATTTGGCCTTCCAGTACGCCTGAACTTTGTCAAGAAAGCTTGAGAACTCCATGGCCATGTAAGGGGTTAACAGAACAGGGCTTCAAACTTAACCCTGGAACAAGTCTTGAAAATGGGATAGTCCAGTGTATCTCACTCTGAAAGGCTCGTTGCTAATTTGTGTGCAGCACTGAAAATTGCCTGCAACTTGCATTTAGCTTGATAAACAATCACTTGTCTCCTGTTGGATTGATAAAACAAGTGCACGGAAGAGTGGATTGGCCGATAGTTGATATTATCAAATATCGCAGTCATTTAAATGAGCAGTGGTTTTACGCAAATTGTTGTTCTTTTGTTCTCTTTCGCATGTGATTTGTTTTTTTTACAAGACAAAAGTCTT